GCTGCCGCCGCTGGGCCCGTCTACCTCCACCGGCCCCCGCCGCAGGCCTACCTGCGTCTGCTTGTCTCTGCCGCCGGGCCTGTCTACCTCTGTGGGCCGCCGCTGGGATTGAATGTCTCTGCCGGCTGCTGCCGGGCCTGAATATCCCTGTAGGCTGTCGCCGCTGGGCCCGTCTACCTCAGCGGGCTGTTGCTGGGCCCTTCTACCTCCGCGGGCCGCCGCTGCAGGCCTACCTGCGTCTGCTTGTCTCTGCCACCGGGCCTGTCTACCTCTGTGGGCCGCCGCTGGGCCTGAATGACTCTGCCGGCTGCCGCCGGGCCTGAATATCCCTGTCGGCTGCCGCCGCTGGGCCCGTCTACCTCCACCCGCCCCCGCCGCAGGCCTACCTGTGTCTGCTTGTCTCTGCCGCCGGGCCTGTCTACCTCTGTGGGCCGCCGCTGGGACTGAATCTTCTTATTTCTTTTAGAGAGTGATTGCATCAAAAGGATATCATCTGAACTGAACCCTGAACTTTCTCCCCAGGCAAATCCCTTTGAAGGTGCCTGAAGAAGGGGAAAGGGGTGTGTGTGTTGTGTATGTGTGTAAAACTAACAATGACTGTAGTCCCTGAGGTTAGACCACACAGGTTTATGAAACTTTTTTTTAAAGACTTGTTTCTTTATTATGTATATAATACTCTGCCAGAGTGTACACCTGCAGGCCTGAAGAGGGCACCACATCTCTTTATAGATGGTTTTGAGCCACCATGTAGTTGCTGGGAATTGAACTCATGACCCATGGAAGAACAGCCAACGCTCTTAACCTCTGAGCCATCCCTCCAGCCCTAGACCATACAGGTTTAAAGAAGGATGGCTTTGCCTAAGCCTGAAAAGCTCAGCGTGGAATGAGAATTCTTTCCTGAATTCCTGGAGATCAAAGAATGCGACCTGAGGAGAAATGGGAACCCCGTGGAGGTCAGGGAAGGAGGTCCTTGAAAACAAGTGTGTGACATGAGTGAATGCTGGAGGCAGTAGGAGAGCCTGTTAAAATATAACTTCTCAAATGGTTTACTAAGTAGTACGTAGAGGAGAGAGAAACGCTGCCCTCCCCCTCTCCCCACCCCAGACAGTTCTCACTGTGTGCCACAAGATGGACCTTGCGAGCTTCCTGCCGTGTTGTGTTTTATAGTCATGCCACGCCACACTGATGTCTTTCTTGTGAAGTGTGGGTATTACCAGGGAACTCAGGCTTCCTTTTAATGGGTTCTTTGTCCTTTTAGGTTTTTGAGACAGGGTTTCTCTGTGTAACAGTCCTGGCTGTCCTGGAACTCACTCTGTAGCCCAGGCTGGCCTCGAACTCACAGAAATCCGCCTGCCTCTGCCTCCCCAGTGCTGGGATTAAAGGCGTGCGCCACCACCGCCCAGCGGTTCTTTGTCTTATTAATAAAAGAATTTGAAAACCGACGGAGGCGCGGGAAGCTGTTCAGCAGAGTTTGAGAGAAAAACAAGAGGGCAGGTGAGGTGCAGACCTCGGCACTTTTGAGCAGGAGGGAAACGGGGAAGCCGAGGTAAGGCTAAGAGAGCAGGCAGCTTCCGCGTTGGAGCTGGCTGCGAGGCAGTGAGGATGGAGAAGGCTTCGGAGAAAAGAGAAAAAAGGACGCCCAGGCGGTCAGGGAAGAGGTCTAAGAAAGGGAAACCATTCCCAAGGCGCTGGCCCTCGGGGTTCAGGAGCCATTGGCAGAGCGCCCTCTGCTCTCCCTGGGGAGACCGTGGCAGGCTTTTCCCACCCTGGCTCTGTGGGTTGGAGGAAGCCCCGAGGGGAAGAAGGCCTTCCAGCCTCTCTGCCAACTGGCTTCCTTCACGTGCTGAGTTCGATCCCGCTCTTTGCAGTCTCTGTGCTCACTCACAGATGCCTCCCGCCCTGGAGCGGAAGAGCCCCTCCCTCTTGCCACTGCATCTAGGAAGTGAAGACCTTCTAGGAGGCGAAGAGCGCTTTCAGAGCACGCTCTTGCACACTACACCTTTTGCATGTTTCTACTCCATCCTTCAAGAACCCCGTGAAGGAAATACTACCCTCCATCTCATAGACGAGAGAGGATTCACAAACAGGGATGATACACAAGCATGGGATGTGGTAAGGCGCTAGCTAGCCTAGCGGCAGGAGCACTGTGTTTGGTTCCCCAAACCACACACAGCGCCCCCCATTCATATATCTGACAAGGGATTGATAATTAGAATAAATAATAAATAAATAGCTTCAAAAATAAATATTTCCATTAAAAATGGGCAAATGATAGGAATATGACATTAATAATTTTTTTTTTTTTTTTTGGTTTTTCGAGACAGGGTTTCTCTGTGTAGTTTTGTGCCTTTCCTGGAACTCACTTTGTAGACCAGGCTGGCCTCGAACTCACAGAGATCCGCCTGCCTCTGCCTCCCGAGTGCTGGGATTACAGGCGTGCGCCACCACCGCCCGGCCGACATTAATAAAATTAATGAATAGACATTAATCAAAATGAGTGCAAATGGCCAATAAATTATAACACAGTGTTTTTTCACTTTCTTAGATTTATAAACTGCTTTGATATATGTTCCTAGTATTTCACACACTGTTTTATTTTATCTTATTAATTAAAACTTTATTGTAAAGAACTTGCAAATTAAAAAAACAAAAAACATTATGCTGTGAGAGTATCCAGACCTTCAGAAGTTTATACATCTCAAGGAACCTCTACACAGTCACAGCAGCCAGGCTGAAGCTGCAGAGATTCGAGTTAGATTTTATACTTCCACTATCAATTATATTTTTATGCATGTATCCACAAAAACCAAAGCAAAATGAAACTGAAAAATCCATGGCAGAATTAAAACGAGAAAAACATTAGCTTTATAATTGGAACTCCATGCCCTGTGCCTGCATTCAGCCCTTGCTCATGCTCTGATGCTTAGCTCTTTCTTGTTTTTTCTACCTGTTGTACTATAGCCACGTATACATTTGTTTATGTAGGTAGGTATATATATATATTATAGGTTAGGGGCTGTGTGAGTGAGACTGTGCACTTTGGCTCTTTGAAGTTGTATGACCTCCATATTATACATGCTAACTCCGTTTTCCTGCAAATTTGGTGATTTCATTTTTCTTTAGAGCTGAGAAGTATTCCATTTTATTTATGTTGCAGATTTTCATTATCCATCATCTGTTGATGGGCAATTAGGTTGGTTCCATTTCCTGTCTATAGTGAATAGAGCAGCAATAAACATGGGGGTGTAAATATCTCTGTGGAAGGGTATGGAGTTCTCTGTGTACATGCCCAGGATTGGTCTAGATGAATCATGTGGTAGTTCTGTTCTATTCTTTTGAGGAACTTTCCAACAGGCTTCCATAATGTCTTTATTAATTTGTGCCTCCCCCAGGCAGTGAATAGGGCTCCCCTTTTTTTACATCTCCTCCAACACTCATCAGATTTCTTTTTCTTTTCTTTTTCTATTTTTAGTTTTTGAGACAAGGTTTCTCTTCTGTAGACAAATTGCTAACTGGTCTTATCAAATAAAAACCACGGAGCCAGATATAGGGGTGAAAACCTGAGAGATCAGAGATATAGGAAAAGCCCACAGCTAACCTCACCTCACCAACTCCGCAGCTTCCAAAGAGAGCTACTTCCTGTCTACTCACACCTATATGCCTTTCTGTTCTGTTTTCTCATTGGCTCTCTCAGCCCAACTATATCACTTCCTCTTCCTGCCCAGCTCTGTCACTTCCTGTCTGTACAGACCTCCAGACCTCTATGGTTAGTGTGGGATTAAAGGCATGTGTCACCATGCTTGGCTCTGTTCCCCAGTGTGGCCTTGAACTCACAGAGATCCAGACAGATCCCTGCCTCCCAAGTGATAAGATTAAAGGTATGTGCTACCATTGCCTGACTTCTATGTTTACTTAGAGTGGTTGGCTTTTTCCTCTGATCCTCAGATAAATTTTATTGGGGGACACAATACATCATCACACTCTTCAGTTGAGAAAATGCTGCCATCAGATCGACCTGTGGTGTATTTTCTTAATGGATGATTGATGTAGGAGGGCCTGGCTCACTGTGGTGTGGTGGTGGTGGTGGGTGGTGGGTGGTGGGTGGTGGGTGGTGGGTGGTGGGTGTTGGTGGTGGTGTTGGTGGTGTGGGTGTTTGTGTGTCTTGTGAACTATTAAAAAGCAAGCAGAGCAAGTCATAGGGAGCAAGCCAGTGAGCAGCACTCCTCCATGGCCTCTGCATCAGTTCCTGCCCTCAGGTTCCTGCCCTGATTTCCCCGGATAACAGACTACAATTGGTAAAATCTAATAAGCCCTTTACTTCCCAAGTTGATTTTGGTTATGGTGCTTTATCATAGCAATAGAGACCCTAACTAACACCACCCTTTCATGCTAAAAGATCTGGAGGAATTAGGAACAGCTAGACTATACCTTGGGATAATAAAAACCATATACAACAGACCTATGGTTCACATTATACTAAATGAAGGAAAAGGAGAGCATCTCCTCTAAAATCAGAACATGACAAGGGTAATTGTTCTCTCCACTCTTGTTCAATGTGATGCTCAAAGTCTTCGCCAGAACAGCAAGACAGGAAAAGACATAAGGGTCAGAAACACAGGAAAGGAAGAAGTCCAATCATCTCCATTTTCAGATGGCATGATTTGACACTTAAAAGACTCTACAGACTCGACTAGAAAACTCTTCAGTCTAGTAAACATTTTCAGCCAAATTTTAGGTTACAAAATCAACATACAAAAAAAAGTAGTTCTCCATATAGACCAATAACAAGTTGTTTTTTTTTGTTTGTTTTGTTTGTTTTTGAGAAAAAAATAGAAACAAAATCCTATTCACAATAGCTTGAAAAAGAATAAAGGAAGAAACCTAATCAAGGAAGCGAAACCTCTCCAATGCAAACTTCAACACACTGACCAAAGAAATTACAGGAGATACCAGACAATGGAAAGACTTCCTATGCTCTTGGATTGACAGAATTCATATTGTCAAGTGGCTATATTACCAATGTAATCTACAGAGCCAACGTCATACCCATCAAAATTCTGAAATTCTTTATAGAACTAGAAAAAAAAAACTGAAAGCTCATATAGAAACACAAAAGACCACAGAAAGAACACTGCTGGAAATATCAGAGACTTGACTTAAATTTTATTACAGAGCTGTAGGAACAAAGACAGCATGGTACTGGCACAGAGACAGACATGTAGAACAGTGGAATAGAATAGGGAACACAAATAAACCCACCCAGGTATGGAGGATTGCCTTGATTATTAATTGACGTAGGAGGGCTCAGCCTACTGTGTACAGCAGGTGGTCGTAGGTTGTATGAGAAAGTTAGCCAAGCATGGGGTTGGGAATGAGTCAGCCAACAAACAACGTTACTTCATGGTGTTTGGGGCAAGTTCCTGTTTGAGTTCTTGCTCTGACTTCCTTCAATAATGTAACATGGAAGCATAAGCCAGATACATCCTTTGCTTTTGGCCAGAATGTTTTACCACTGCAACAGAATGAAACCAGAACAGTTGTCCACCATAAGACTCGCTTTGGACACAGGACGTAGAAAAACCAACCTCAACTGACCAGAAAACTCCCCCAGTTGGCAGGCTTCTGTAATGCTGAAAGGAACAGTACGGGGGGGGGGGAGATTATCGATGGTCTCGTTCGTCATTGGACCCTACGTTCTACAATACCAATTTTCTTCTTGGCAAGATGTGCTCAGGGAGGCAACAGTGGCATAAGGGTTAAAGAGGTAAACATCTCCTTTCTGATAGGATACTAGAAACTAATGACTGGGGAGATCATATACCTTAGAAGGGAACCTACTATTTTGCTAAATGGTCATGTTATCCAACTGCCTTTTAAAGACTTAAGTTTATACTTATCAGTTTGTGTTGCTCTTAACGTTAGTCAGAGAAGCTTCTTTTTGCAGTGGCTAGTAGTAATGCTGAGACTCATAACTCATCAAATTTCCGAGTATGAGTAACTGTGAGTGCTCAGCTGTAGAGAAATCTCTATCAGCCTCAACCCATTCAAGTCTCAGAGCCCATCACAGGACAGAAAAGGATGTAAGAGCTGGCAGATTGGGAGAAGAGCTGTAATATTCTGACTTCTAGACATAACATGGCTGTCACACACATCAACTCATAGCAGCTGTGGTTGCTTGTGGAAGACTTTGCACAAAGATTGAGCCAGTCAAAATTCCATATGGCTTGGGGTGGAGCCGGAGCCTTAGAAGAGTTGTTAGCTACAGAGGGAGAGTTACTCCTTTGGAAACACGGCTTACGGAAAGTGGTCCATAATCAGTGGATAGCCCTATACTGGGTACGTGGGTAGAACTAATGAAATTTGGTGTTATTATAAACGAAAGGGAAAAAAAGAAGACATGAAATTGGGAGCAATATGAGGCAGGGGCAATAAAGGGAATTGGAAAGAGGTAGTGGTGGGCAGATATGATCTAAATATGTTGTATCTGTGGCTGGAGAGATGGCTCAGCAGTTAAGAGCACTTGCTATTTTTGCAGAGGACCTTTGTTTTGTTACAAGAATCACATGGTAGTGCATAACCATCTGTAATTCCAGTTCCAGGGAATCTGACACCCTCTCCTGGTCACCTCAGAACACCAGCCATGCATGTGGTGCACATACATTCTTCCAGACAAAACACCCATACATAAAAAAGTTAAAATTAAAAAATAAAAATCAGTTAACCAAAAATAACAAAAAATATAACCTAGGAAAAACCAAAAAGCACTGTCTGTGGACTGATAATCTGAAGAATCAAGGAAACATCCAGAGAAGGGAACAGAACCAACCATCACAGAATGGCAGGGAAGGACCTTAACAGAATCCAGACAAGAACCAACAAATCAGACTTGTTAAGTTTCATGTCCCATGTCTCCACCCAACTCTCACTTCTTCTCCACCCAGCTCTCCCTTCCTCTCAATCCAGCTCTCCCTTCCTCTCCACCCAGCTCTCCCTTCCTCTCCATCCAGCTCTCCCTTCCTTTCCACCCAGCTCTCACTTCCTCTCCATCCAGCTCTCCCTTCCTTTCCACCCAGCTCTCACTTCCTCTCCACCCAGCTCTCCCTTCTTCTCCACTCAGCTCTTACTTCCTCTCCACCCAGCTCTCACTTCCTCTCCACCCAGCTCACTTCCTCTCCACCCAGCTCTCACTTCCTCTCCACATAGCTCTCACTTCCTCTCCACCCAGCTCTCACTTCCTCTCCACCCAGCTCTCACTTCCTCTCCACCCAGCTCTCACTTCCTCTCCACCCAGCTCTCACTTCCTCTCCACCCAGCTCACTTCCTCTCCACCCAGCTCTCACTTCCTGTTTATCCCATCATGTCTAACGTGTGAGGTTATTTTGGCAGGCCAGCTTGGCCTTGCTCTGTTTTTACCCTACATTGTCTTCTTTTTTCCTCCTCCTTTTTCAAGGTTTAGGAATTACAGACAGTAAGCTGCCAAACCCGGGTCCTCTGGAAGAACAGCCAGTGCTCTTAACCACTGAGCCACCCAGCCCTGGCTTTTTCTTCCGCTAAAGAACATAATCTGTTCTGGTTTACAAACCAGATATAAAAATGCAGTAGAATAAAGACTACTGCACTACCCATAACTATAGAAAAGTGCAAAGGAAATATGAGCGTGGTAAGGAGAGAAGAAGCAAGATTCAGGAAAAGAAGTGTGAGGAAGGGGGGAAAAGGCATAAAAATCTGATGACAAGGAAAAATACTTAAGAGCAACAAAAAATAAAAAGAGATTTAAAAACAATACTCAAAATTCGAGGTGAAGGAGAGACATGAAGGGGGAAGGGGGAGAGAGAAAGGAGAGCGAACGCTGATGGAGAGGCCTCTCTCTGGTCCAACCTGGTGTCTGCAGTTTTGGGTTGGTGGCGGTGTTTTGTATATGGATGCTTGTTGTAGTTCCTGTTTGTTCTCCTGTCGGTGCTGTATGTGGGCTGAGAGCTGGACTGGTCATGAGTACATAGCATCAGGGTTCACATTGAAGCTTTCTGCGGGCCCGATGTGCTTTGTAGCCTATAGGCTAGGCAGGCTGCCACTCAGGCTAGAGGTTCCCCAGTGTGGGGGGCAGAGAACATGCATGCTCAAGTCTTCTGAGTGTATTAGAAAGCAATGGCACCGAATTCTAAATCAAGAGGGATAATGGAGTACCCAGCGCTCTGCCTGCTGGTCCGAGCACTTGGACCATCCAACCGCCCTCACAGGAAACCTCACTGGAGAAAGGGGAAGGCTCCGATCCATGGGACCTGGACTCTGAGGTCTCAGTTCTGAACAGTAATAAACCAACGGCTGTGGTATGGACGCAGCTCTGGAAGCCAAGCAGTGGTTTGCGGATACAGACTTAGAGCATCCGCCGTTTGCTGGAATATGCAGATGACGAACACACACCACCAGATACTCCAAAGGGTTGACTCCCTGCTACCTGCCCTCTGTAGTCTGCTGCACCCAGTGATCTTTGCCTCCACAGCTGCCTCTGGTGACTGTCTCCCATCCACTGGGACACCACGATGCCTGACTTGTGATTTTTTCCCCCCAGGTACGTAGTTCAGCTTAAAAAGTGGGCCCCTTCTCCAGATGGTGCTTGCCTACAGCACTAACTTTAGAAGCAAAGCAGTGGACTTCTTCACCAATGCCAGCCTGCCACACAAGTGGCTGTAACACCAAATGCCCCCACTGGATTTAAGGCTTGGAGGATTATGGGTTTCTCCGATGGCTAGAACTGTGAATCACCTCATTCACCTGTTTAGAGTTGGAGCTCTACGCCTTTCTTTTCCTCTGTATTTATTACCTGTTTCTCTGTGCTTTTCCGATTTCTGGCCACTCTCCATTATTAGTTAAACTCTTCTGATCTCCCACTTGACATGAAATTATTTTTCTTGTGCCTTTTTCATTTTCTTTTTTTTGCAGGGGCGGGGAAGAAAGGGAGGGACAGAGCTTTTTCATTTTCTATGCCTAGATCACCTGTGTGAGTTTATTAGCTCTTGTTTTGTTTAGTCATTGTGGGGGACCAGTTAAAGATGCATTATCATGAAGGAAATATCACACAAACTCAAAATGAAGGATGTTAAAATTTTCATACATGCAGGCAAAACACATAAAATGCGTTTATCTAATAAAAAATGTAAAAAGCAAAACAATTGGACAGAATATAAAGAAATTGGAACCCTTGCTCACTGCCAAGAGGAATATAAAAC